GAGGTCTTGATCGATTGTTCAAGAGAATTCAAGTCATGGGTATTGCTGTTTCTGGATTTTGCCTTCCCTCGCTCTTCTTTTACCTTTGGGAGAATGAAAGGTGTTTATTCTTGCTCTCTATACTCCTCTGCTTAGATTTTTTTTAGTCGCTTCGATTGTTCCTGTGAATGATTCTGGGTTCTTGTGAATTTTCAAATTTCGTTCTGAACTATTCTGATTTCTTTTGGCTTTTCGTTGATGGAATTTGCTTGGAGGAGGCTGAAGCTGAATGTAATGGTTTGATTTTTAAGGTGGGGTTTTAAAATGAAGGGGGCTTTAGGGGTTTTTCAATTCTTCTGAAGCTTTTCTTGGAGTTCAAGGATACCATGTTTAGGGTTTTGAAAATTGAAGACATGTTTTCCTTGTTGCTTGAGTTTGGGTCTACTGTATAATCTGAGGAAAATTTGTGGCTCGGAAATTGGGCTGATGATCGAAATAGAAGTTACAGAAGTGTTGTTATGATTGATTTTGTTTATGAATTTATATTTGATGGTGAGTTTCTTTTGTGGTTGAAGATCTTTGGCTGCTGTCAAACAATATGAAGAGTGATGTTAAGATAAAATGGCGGCGGAGAGCTGGAAAAGGGGAGAACATTAGGAAGATAATGAAGTGTTTATGTTCTGGAGAGAAAAGAGCTGGTGATGATATGATTCCTGCATCAGAATTGCAGTCAACATTGGAGAATTCAGCAAGCGAACACTCCTCACGAATCGGCGGGATTGTCATGAAGCCAGAAATTGGCAATATAGAAGAAGCCGAGTCTTCGCTTCGTGAGAGCGGTTGCTTGAATTATGAGGTTAGAGTCCTTAAGCTTCCTAGATTGCAAGTTAACTTTCTTGATTCATTGTTTCATTTTCAGAGGATCCCATGGAACAAAGAAGGAACAAGTTCTTGTTTTTTTATCACATGTTTGTCACAATCCAGAGGAAGCAAGTTAGTATAGTGAAAAAAAACACATAAACATGCTTCTTTCTGGTGCTTTATGATCAAAATCTTTTGAAAATTGAATGTAAATTGATCTCTGCTTGTATGAGTTTTCAGTCAGTATATTGTTTTACATAAACAAAGTTTAGTGACAGAACTTTATAGTAGTTTATATGGGAATCATGAAAATAAATTGGAGCTAAACATCTCTATATTGATATGTTGTTTGAAGGAAGCAAGAGCATTGCTGGGAAGATATGAATATCAAAAAGGAAACATCGAAGCTGCTCTTCATGTATTTGAAGGAATAGATATCACTGCAGTAACTAGTAAGATAATGATCTCCATTGCTAGAACAGGACACCGTGCAAGGAGACGATCGCAACGTTTTAGTGACCCACCAATGTCTATGCATGCTGTTAGTTTACTGTTGGAAGCCATCTTTTTAAAAGCAAAATCATTGCAAGGCCTTGGGAGGTTTGGAGGTACTGTTTGTTAGTTGAGCCTCTCGAATCTATTTCTTTTGGTCAAATGTCTTTCAACTCTGGTGTTGAATTTTGGTTGGAATATGAGGATTCGGTCTAGTTTTCTTTTTTGGGGGTTGTTCGAACAAAAGGGGAAAGACGATTTGAGCTGATTATAAGAGTAAAAGCATTAATTTGTAGCTGATCTATGTTTTCCCCTATTATTGCAGAAGCTGCTCAATCTTGCAAAGTTATTCTGGACATACTTGAATCTTCATTTCCCGAAGGGTTGCCTGAAAACTTTGGTGCTGATTGTAAATTGCAGGACACAGTAACGAAAGCCGTTGAGTTGATACCAGAACTATGGAAACAAGGCGATTCTTCTCAAGAAGCGATCCTTTCATATCGGCGGGCACTCCTTCATCAATGGAACCTCGATGCGGGAACCACCGCTCGAATTCAGAAAGAGTTTGCTATTTTTCTTCTGTACAGTGGAAATGAAGCATACCCTCCAAATCTCCGGTCTCAAATGGACAGCTCATTTGTACCAAAAAACAATAATGAAGAAGCTATACTCATATTTATGATACTACTTAGAAAAGTTGTTCTGAAGAGGATTGATTGGGATCCATCAATCTTGGATCACCTCTCCTTTGCACTAACAATATCAGGGGATACAAGCGCTTTGGCAGGTCAAGTAGAGGAATTGCCTCCTGGGATTCTGCATAGAAACGATAGGTACCATACTCTAGCTCTTTGTTACTATGGAGCTGGAGAAGACTTGGCTGCTTTGAATCTTTTGAGGAAATTGTTGGGCAGTCATGAGGATTCTAAATCTCTTCCTGCTTTATTAATGGCGTCAAAGATTTGTGGAGAGCACGGTGATCATGCTGAAGAAGGAACACGTTATGCTCGTCGAGCTCTTCAAAAGTTGGATGCTGGATGTGATCAATTGATAGGTGTTGCCAACTGTTTGTTGGGTGTCTCTCTGTCTGTATATTCTAAATCAGCAGTTGCAGATTCTGAGCGGTCCTCCAGACAATCTGAGGCGATAGAGGCCCTGGAAGCTGCACGGAAGAAGACTCGAATGACCAATGCTAATGTTCTCTACCATTTGAGTGTTGAATATGCTGATGAGAGGAAGTTGGATTCAGCACTTCATTTTGCAAAGAAGTGTCTCAAACTGGAAGGTGGATCTAATATTAGAACTTGGTTACTGGTGGCTAGGATTCTCTCTGCCCTGAAACGATTCGTGGATGGCGAAAATATTATAAATGCAGCTCTGGAGCAGACTGGGAAATGGGATCAAGGCGAATTGCTTCGAACAAAAGCAAAGCTTTTGATTGCACAAGATGAGCTGAAAGGTGCTATTGGGACTTATACTCAGTTACTCGCTGTTTTTCAAGTTCAGAGTAAAAGTTTTGGCTTGGGAGATAAGAAGCTACATAAGGTTTATTTCTGTATTTGGGGTTTCTATCAATTCATTCTGATAGTTTGAACATGAATTTTCATTTGTAGTTATTTCAGGATTGATTTACATGCGAATAAATTACACAAGTCTCCTAAGAGATTCCACGTCGGTTGGAGAGGAGAACGAAACATTCTTTGTAAGGGTGTGGAAATCTCTCCCTAACAGGCACGTTTTAAAAACCTTGAGGAAAAGCTCGAAAAGGAAAGCCCAAAGAGGACAATATCTGCTAGTGGTGGCCTTGGACTGTTACAAATGGTATTACAAATGGTATTACAAAAGGTATCAGAGCTAGACACTGGACGTTGTGCCAGCGAGGAGGTTTAGCCCCGAAAGGCGGGTGGACACGAGACACTATGCCATCAAGGACGTTGGGCCCCAAATGCGGGTGGATTGGGGGGTCCCACATTGATTGAGAAAGAGAACAAAGCATTGTTTATAAGAGTGGAAACTTCTCCCTAGCAGACGGTGTTTTAAAAACTTTGAGGGAGAAGCTCAAAGAGGACAATATCTGCTAGCGGTTGGATTGGGCTGTTACATTAAGCCTTGCAATTTGAATATATTTTTGTAATTCGTGATATGTTTCCATTTTCGCTCATGGATCGTTATATCTTAATCTTGTTTTGGATGTATCATTCACCATTGCTGACGTTTAATCGTTGTCGGTACCTCCCTTTGACAGAGCAGCAGAAATTGTATCAGAAGTTTGCAATTGGAAGTGTGGCATGATTTAGCTCTAGTCTATATAAGGCTTTCACAATGGCACAATGCCGAGGCTTGCCTTTCCAAGTCAAAGGCCATCCATTCTCATTCGGCATCTAGATGTCATCTCACAGGTAACTCCTTAACATCATATGAATTATCTTATCATTACTTCATTTTTAGCTTCTCTTCTCCTTAATACACGAATCTGAAGATGATATCTTGTGATTTGAACATCACAACAAGATTTTTCATCCAAGTTTTTAGTTCAATCATCTGAGGTTGATGTTTGGAGCTTGCTCATTGATTACAGGTATGCTTTATGAAGCAAAAGGATTGTATAAGGAAGCTTTGAAAGCTTTTATGGCTGCTCTGGACATCGATCCCGTTCATGTCCCGAGCTTGGTTTCGTCTTCCGTAGTTATCAGACGTCTTGGCCACCAATCGCACCCCGTTGTTCGCAGCTTTTTGATGGATGCTGTACGTCTCAACCAGACAAACCACGCTGCGTGGTACAATCTCGGGCTATTCTACAGAGCTGAAGGAACCAAATCTTCATTGGCAGAAGCTGTTGAATGTTTTGAGGCTGCAACATTTCTTGAAGAGACTGCTCCTGTCGAACCCTTCAGATAAAACATCTCTGCTCATGTAATTTTTTGAAACAAAGTATTTTCCTTGTATCTTCTGCTTCATAATCTATTTTACACCCTCATTGTACAACAGAAAATTAATAAATGAAAAGTTTCTCTCTGTTTCTGGATGGTTTCAGTTCCATCTATCAAACTCAACTTGTTTGGAACTCTCTCTTTTATTGCGAGATCCACTTCAGTTGGAGAGAGGGACAAAACATTTCTTATAATGGTGTGGAAACCTCTCCCTAGTAGATGTGTGTTAAAATCGTGAGGCTAACAGCGATACGTAACGAGCTAAAACATACAATATCTACTAGCGTTGACCTCTGACTATTACCAAAATTGTATAGAGGCAGACACAAAGCGGTGAGGCAATGAGGACAATTGGGTGCAAAAGGGGTGGATTGTGAGATAGTACGTCGATTGGAGGGGGAACAAAACATTTTTTATAAAGGAGTAAAAAGAAAAACGATGAAGCTTTATTTATAGAATTACAATTATAAAAGAATCTAAAATGATTGGAGACTTTTTCTTTTTGAAACCGAACTTTATAATTTCTCTTGGAATGTAAAAGTTGAAAATAGAACAAATACAAGATGAATTTACATAAACAAAGTGGGTAAAATTCCAAAAACTATAATAATACAAGGACGGGAGTGAAAAATAAAATTGGATAGAGACTTTTCACGTATGAATTAAAATTTCCCTGATTATCCACTAATGGTCAGAGAACATCACGCCGACAGAGCACTGTTTTTAAGAAACAAAGACCAATCGCCCAAACAGACAAATCCAAATCACCACAAACATGCTCTGTATCTTTCCTCGAGAGAAAGAGGGGACAAAATGTTTCTTTGAGAGTACAAGTGGGTACAATTCCGCTGCCCAAAGTTGAATCCCAAACCATTATTCCATCTGCTTCAGCTTTTCACAAATCTTAAAACCCATAAGCTCTGTTTTTTTTAGGGGTTGCTCGAAATCGGTAGCTATGGAGGTTGGAAAGAGGGTAGAAGAGGAAGCAGGGCCGTCTTCGGCCGGGAAAATTGATGAGCTCCGGGGGGAGAAGCTGCCGCAGACGGCGAGTGGGAAGCAAAGTGAGGAGTCCGAGGTCGGAGAAGAAGAGGTTGATGATAAAGAGGGGTTCACTCCAGGGCCTTTGCTTTCACTTAAAGAACAGATTGACAAGGATAAGGTCTTTCTTTCTCTCATCCCTTTTCAAAATCTCCATTTTTTCTGTCTGATTTTTGGATAGAACTTTTGGATTAAGGGGTGCTTTTGTTTTGGTTTGCTTCATGATTTGGTTGCTAATAACAGAGTTTATATGTTTGGGTAACGGCCAGTGGGTCTCAGAAACTAATAGACTAATGAAATTCAAACGCATTTTCAGAACTGAAAGAAAACCCTTATGCACAATGCGGCTTCTCAACTATCAAATGAGTATTATAGTGTCTTGCAGGTTTTTGCAGTAGTTCTTCAATGAGATGATATAATAATGGTTTATTTTTTTGGATTCTTGTAAGTTCATAATCTTTAGGATAGCATCCACTCATTTTGTTAAGTCGAAGATCATGAATTTATAAGTAAGGAATACTACCTACATCGGTATGAGGCTTTTTGGGGAAACCAAAGGTACTTATGCTCAAAGTGATAATATCATACCATTGTGAAATTTCGTGATTCTTAACATGGTATCCGAGCCATGCCCTTAACTTAGCCATATCAATAGAATTATCAAGTATAAAACAGAAAAGTTATGAGTCTTGAAGGTGTAGTTAAAAGTGACTCAAGTGTCGAACAAATTGTGTACTTTGTTCAAAGGCTACAGAGAATGAGTTGAGCCACGAGTAAAAGGAGGCTGTTCGAGGGCTCCATAGGCCTTAGTGGAGGTTTTATGGTGTATTTTGTTCGAGGGGAGGATTGTTGAGGATTGTTAGGAGAGGAGTCCCACATCCCTTAATTAAGGGGAAGGTCATGAGTTTATAAGTAAGAAATACTATCTCCATTGATATGAGACCTTGTGGGGAAACCAAAAGCAAACCCATGAGAAGTTATGCTCAAAGTGGATAATATCATACCATTGTGGAGGTCCGTGATTCCTAACAAAGTCTCTACAAAATAGCGAAAAAACAAGTCTACTCTATCCCTTTATCTTATAGAAGTGACGATATGAATCTTTTTTTTTTCTCCAGACATTATACTCATTCCTAGCCCTTATCACCATGGAACCCATATTATTGAATATTTTTTAGTCATCCCTCCGTACAGGTGTAGCTCTAAACCTCATAGTTATGCTTCTTTGTGGAGTTGATTCTTCTAGCTTTAGATGACCTTATTGGACTATAGAAGGCAATCACTTGAAACAAGTGATTCTTACAGGGTCATACAGTTCTGTTTTAATGTTGATCTTGCTTTTACAGGATGATGAAAGCCTGAGAAGGTGGAAAGAAAAGTTGCTTGGCTGCTTAGAAAATGATTTAAGTGGTATATATTCTGAAATTCTTCTTTGTTAATTGATAGTATTGCTGCACTTGTATTTGTACTTAACATTATGCTTTCTCTGCTACTAGAACAAAGGGAACCTGAAGTCAAATTTCACTCCATTGGGATTATTTCTGATGAGTTAGGGGAAATCAACACTCCATTGCCTGTTGATGAAAATCAAGGTGGCCGTGTTCTCTTTACTCTCCGAGAAGGATCCAGGTATCAACTTCGGTTGACGTTTACTGTAATGCATAACATCGTCTCAGGCCTGTCCTACTCGAATAAAGTCTGGAGAGGAGGATTGCTAGGTACATAAATTTTGATATCCACAGTTTCTGAAAGCATGCTTATCAAAGTCGAATCTTAAACTATTTAGTTGTCTTTTTAACTTATTATGCTTGTGTTTTTGGCGATTGATATCAGTTGATCGGACACAAGGAATGTTGGGTACTTTTGCCCCCCAGCGAGAGCAGTATGTCGAAACGTTGGAGGAGGAGACCACTCCTTCTGGTGTTCTTGCAAGGGGAAATTACTCTGCAAAGCTGAAGGTATGCATAAACAAATACATGCTGACAACGGATGATTATACAATTATGACAATTTTGAATTCATCTAATCTCTTAAGTGTTACCTTAGAGTCCATATTTACTATTTTTTACTTTTTGGCTGAAATTGAAATTTAGTGTGTTTGCAAACGTCATATCGCTACAATCCTATCATCAATTTCCATTGTCAAATCAATTCATCTAAACAACTTATGTGTATCCATCAAAATTTGACAGTTTAGCTGAAATGGTATGGCAGTTAATCATAGAATGGGTATTAATTATAAATAAGATTAGGATTAGACAAACTATCTCTTTCTAATATTTTGTGGCATTTGTGGTTTTGTGGGCTGAGAGAAACCATATGACCTTTAGAAGTGTGAGATCTCACATTGGTTGGAGAGGGGAACGAAACATTCCTTATAAGAGTGCAGAAATTTCTCCACAGCGGACGCATTTTAGAACCTTGAAGGGAAGCCCGTAAGAGCCCAAAGAGGACAATATCTGCTAGCGGTAGACTTGGGCTATCACAAATAGTATCAGAGCCAAACACCGAGCGGTGTGCTAGTGAGGACGCTGAGCACTCAAGGAGGGTGGATTGAGAGATCCCACATCAGTTGGAGAAGGAACGAAGCATTCCTTATAAGGGTGTGGAAACCTCTCCTTAGCGGACACGTTTTAAAGCCTTGAGGGAAAGCCCAGAAAGAAATGCCTAAAAATGATACTATTTGGTAGTTGTGGACTTAGACTCTTACTGGAAGGCTTAAGAGAGACCTAATGATGTGCCGTTCCTTGTTAGATTCTATGTTTCTCATTTGCGTAAAGGGCACGTTTGTTTCGTAATTATTCTTTTGCAATACATATCAGGTGGCTCAAGCACAATTTAAATAGCTTCTTGGCCATACATGTTATTAGCTTCATAGATTGCCTGGTCTTGTCTGCTGCAAAATGTGCTTGATGAATTTTTGAACTACCAGCTTTCTGTGTGGATGGTTAAACCTTTTTTTGTTGGTTTACCACAGTTCGAAGACGACGACAAACGGTGTTACATGGAACTCCCGTATTCCTTTGTGTTAAGGATATTTAGTAATAAATTATAGTTTACCATATATGGCAAATATCTAATATTTGCCTTATTATCATAGGTATGTTTCCATTTATTGTTATTTCCATTTATTACTATTTCCATATCCTTGTAATTTATTTGATTATAAATAAGATAACTTTCACACCATTTAGGTGTGGTGGATTAATCAAACATTCACATGGTATCAGAGCCCTCTTGGTTTAACAACCCGATTCTTTCTTTTCAATGGCTTTTGAATCATTTAATCTTCTTCTCCACCACCCCTGCTGGTTTTGACGCCGCAGGGGCAGTCTTCATGGTTGCCGTAGTCGGAGCCGATTGATTACTCTTCGGCTCCGCCCTATTGACCTCCAAATCACCTTTCGTCATACTCTGTACATACAACCTCACCTTTTCCAACCCAATCGGTTTTCCCCTTGGCCAATATAGTCTCTCTCATTTTCTTCCCAATCAACCTTCATCCTTCACATAAACCCTAACCTAAACCTATCAACCTTTTGCAGAGATTTACCTTCGGAATCTGGGTGCCGCACTGGCCTATTCGCCAACCAAGTTGCCGTCGCCCTTCCTGCCAAAATTGGCTTCTTCGCCCAATGAGGCGACTCTTCCGACTGTCCTTCTCGCCAAAATTGGCTCCTTCGCCCAATGTGGCGACTCTTCCGGCTTCAACATTGTCTTTGTCCCTTGCTCTAGGTTTCCCCTTCTACTTCTTGGGGTTAGAAATATTCTCACCAGAGCCAAGGCAGCATCGTCGCTAAGCGACAATCCCTCTTCATGGGTTAGACATATTCTCGCCGAGCGGCGATTCCTCTGCAATTTTCGATGGCCAAGAAAGTGTTTCTCTACGCCTCCTCTAAACCAGGTTGTTGACTTCTTCAAGAAAAGTGTTTCTCAACCTCTTTGAATTTTTCAGATTCAAGCTTCACGTTCGTTTAAATCCGACGCTTAGCTTGCGGTGGGGTGTTAAGGATATTTAGTAATAAATTATAGTTTACCATATATGGCAAATATCTAATATTTGCCTTATTATCATAGGTATGTTTCCATTTATTGTTATTTCCATTTATTACTATTTCCATATCCTTGTAATTTATTTGATTATAAATAAGATAACTTTCACACCATTTAGGTGTGGTGGATTAATCAAACATTCACACTTTGAGATCAAGAAGGGCAGTTAATTGAGTTTGAGTCTGAGTCGGCACGCATCTTTCTTGGACCTTTTCTTCTTATTGTTTTCCTCTAATGAACTGGTGGTCGTCTTTTTCACCCTTTTACATATTTGAACCACAGTTGGAAATATGCAAGATTTTCATATTGAATCTTGAATGTCTATGAATGGAAGTTCTCGTAAATTGGCACACAAGTAGCTCAATGAATGTCAGTACAAAATGATCTTCATTATACTGTTGCCCTGGAGAATGATAAACCTCAAAAAACTAGCGTATGATGTTTTTATAAATTAAAAAAATGAAGAATTAAATTTTGTAATTTCAAAATTTAATAACAAATCAAAAATTTTAAGAAATTGTTGAATGAAAGTTACTAGTATTGTCCATTTAGAGGATGATCATGAGTTTATAATTAAATAATATTATTTAATTTGAAGCCTTTTGAATAAGTCAAAAGCAAAACGATGGCTCAGTTTTATTTGTTGAGTGTCAATAAATTATTATATCATCAATAATCGTGCAAGCTAATTCTCGCCAACTGTACGCGATAAATTTCGTTTTATCGTATCCAGCCGATATAAAGAGCCGCCGCCAAAGGCGGCAGTTTGCATGAGAGAGAAAAAAAGAAGCGCGCATTTCAAACGTCGCCGTTCCGCCACCCGACTTCATCACCCGCGCTATACTTCCGCTCAAAATAAATCCGGACCGTCCACGTGTCGAACTCCTTGAGAACAGAGTCCAAATATCTCACTTCTCATAAGTTTCATCCTTCCCAGTGTTCGAAACTCGAAGTTTCTGCAGAGACTTCTATTGGTTCTTGTTAAGGATATTTAGTAATAAATTATAGTTTACCATATATATTATATTTGATATTTTATTATAAGGCAAATATCTAATATTTGCCTTATTATCATAGGTATCTTTCCATTTATTGTTATTTTCATTTATTACTATTTCCATATCCTTGTAATTTATTTGATTATAAATAAGATAACTTTCACACCATTTAGGTGTGGTGGATTAATCAAACATTCACATGGTATCAGAGCCCTCTCGGTTTAACAACCCCGATCCTTTCTTTTCAATGGCTTTTGAATCCTTTAATCTTCTTTCTCCACCACCCCTGCTGGTTTTGACGCCGCAGGGGCAGTCTTCATGGCTGCCGTAGTCGGAGCCGATTGATTACTCTTCGGCTCCACCCTATTGACCTCCAAATCACCTTTCGTCATACTTTGTACATACAACCTCACCTTTTCCAACCCAATCGGTTTTCCCCTTGGCCAATATAGTCTCTCTCATTTTCTTCCCAATCAACCTTCATCCTTCACATAAACCCTAACCTAAACCTATCAACCTTTTGCAGAGATTTACCTTCGGAATCTGGGTGCCGCACTGGCCTATTCGCCAACCAAGTTGCCGCCGCCCTTCCTGCCAAAATTGGCTTCTTCGCCCGATGAGGCGACTCTTTCGACTGCCCTTCTCGCCAAAATTGGCTCCTTCGCCCAATGTGGCGACTCTTCCGGCTTCAACATTGTCTTTGTCCCTTGCTCTAGGTTTCCCCTTCTACTTCTTGGGGTTAGAAATATTCTCACCAGAGCCAAGGCAGCATCGTCGCTAAGCGACAATCCCTCTTCATGGGTTAGACATATTCTCACCGAAGCCAAGGCAGCATTGCCGCTGAGCGGCGATTCCTCTGCAATTTTCGATGGCCAAGAAAGTGTTTCTCTACGCCTCCTCTGAACCAGGTTGTTGACTTCTTCAAGAAAAGTGTTTCTCAACCTCTTTGAATTTTTCAGATTCAAGCTTCACGTTCGTTTAAATCCGACGCTTAGCTTGCGGTGGGGTGTTAAGGATATTTAGTAATAAATTATAGTTTACCATATATATTATATTTGATATTTTATTATAAGGCAAATATCTAATATTTGCCTTATTATCATAGGTATCTTTCCATTTATTGTTATTTTCATTTATTACTATTTCCATATCCTTGTAATTTATTTGATTATAAATAAGATAACTTTCACACCATTTAGGTGTGGTGGATTAATCAAACATTCACAGTTCTCATCTCTCAAATCTAATCAAGAATGATTGAAGCTTCAAGCAATGGCGGCTCTAATGCTAATAATAGCAGGTTTTTTGAACCTGTGTTGCTTCCTTGCACTCACCTGTTTTGCAAGTATGCTTCCCATTTCGTTGTTTTTCATTCATCTTTCTTATTTTTGCGATTTGCAAGTTCTAAATACGTTCTTGACTTTGTTGTAGGGGTTGCATGCCATTTGCTTCCCAGATTGGATCAGTGTGCCCTCTCTGAAAATCAGGATTTGTCGATCGAAGTAGATTTTCCACTAGTCTTAGGCTTCTTGTAATCTTTCGTAAGATTTCTGGTATTTGTTGTTTTTTCTTTTTTGAGCAGCGAGGTCTTGAATTATCCCTGATTCTTCATCCTTTATGATTACCCTGTTTCATCTCGACTTTTCTTCTGAATATCTGATTTATTTACAAACAGGGTCATATTCAATACTTGAACATCGCCTTTCTTGATTGATTAGATTACGGGTGATTGTTCGATTTTGTATATGTATATATATATCTCGAGGGATGTTCGTGATGCATTTGTCGTATGCTATATTATGCAGACATGAGGCCTGCTCCTTTCATGGACAAGATGGTGTCAATATGCAGGAGCCTTGATGCCACATTCTCTACATATATGTCTAAACTAGTCTCACCTGTCAACAATTCTAAAGAAAAGGAATGCTGGGAACAATTCTAAAGAAAAGGAAGATAACAAGTGCGAAAAATATCATAATTGTCACATAGTACATTAATATCACAATTTACATGTTTTAAAATTTGCTTCCTATTTGTAGTATGCTGGGAACAATTTACTTACCGAGAATAAAGAAAGACCAGTTGCAATTTTAAGTAAATTTTCAACACGTAGTCTTAGTTCTTACCTCATTTATGTCTTCTGCATCTCATGGTCTGAAGATCATCCATCTTTTAAACTGCCCTAAGTGTCTAATTAACTCCAGTAGACGCTGGGGCAGCTGTGGACGAATCATGTTTTGGTCAGTCTATGCGTTACTCTTCCAGCAACTGCAAGGGGTTTGAGGGGTGCAGCATGCCTCTTGATTGTGAATGTGAGAATCTTGACATTGAGGGTAAAAAGGGTAGTGGGAGGCATGAAGATTGTAGAATGCCACCTGTGAGTCAGGCAAACCAGTTATCAGCCGGAAGCCCACCACACTTTGGTTCTGGCAAGGTATCAGATGACAGTAGTGAAGAGTACCGTGGTCGTGCAAGATTTGATATTCTCCCTATTTCCTCCTCCTCCCCTGTCTTTTTTCTGGTCATTTTCCCAGCTTTTGTTGCAAATGTAGGAAGTGCATGCTGGCTTCTAGCATCATTATAAGCTTCTAAACTATCTGTAGCTCTGAAGTGCCATCTTATTGTCGTATAGTGATAATTGCCTCTATATCATGTAGGTGCACAGAATTCTGTGTTGTACATATATTTCTGAATTTAGCAATTGGTAGTCTAGCCGAGAGGTGGTGTGATTGCCATACAATATCTTAGCGAAGGGTCTTTTCATCCATTTTCTGATAACTTGAAATTTGGAGTGTTTAGGGGTAAAAGCTTGCATGAAAGAAAGGCGTCCTTTGAACGAGGAAGCTTATGAAATTTCTCTTGACCACTATGGGTGCATTGATGGTCCCAAATCTGGCAGGCTGAGGGTTTTAAGCAATGTAAGTTGACTCATTGGATGCATGAAGAGTAATGGTATTAAAATCCTTACTGTCATTGTTACATTAGTAGAGTACAATTTTGTTGGTGGAGCGTGAGAGCATATATTTAAGGTTTCATTATGATTTCATTTATTGGTTAGGGTACTGTGGTCAATTGCATCTTCTGTTCCGTACTCGTCTGTGGTTCAATTGGTGATTTATGACCCGATTATTTCCCATTCCATTTCTACAGGCACCCAAGCTCTTCATTGGCTTGAGTTTCTATTTTACTGGTGATTTTCCATCGGCTTATGAGGAGGATCTTCAAGATTTGGTCAAAGCTGCGGGAGGTACCATATTAGAGAAGGACGAATTCCCAGCACCTAGTTGTAATGACCAGACTGCACCAAAGGTGCTGGTTGTATACAATCTCGATTCTCCTGGAGGATGCAAAGTGGGGGTGGAGGTTTTAATTCTCTGGCAAAGATTAAATGAGGCAGAGGGAATAGCTGCAAAGGTTGGAGCCCAAGTCATTGGTCATACATGGCTTGTGGAATCCATTGCAGCGGGTAACTTGCAACATTTTGTCAGCTGCTAACCTTGATTTTAATCTATATTTTGTGCTGATTCAAGGCATAGTTATTTATTTAAATGATTAATCTAATCCTATACGTGAAGTTGGCCCTTGTACAATACAAACTGAAGCTAATCTGAATAGTTAATTTACATTTCCTAGGCTATCTGTAGTGGGCTCCCAACTTCATTGGATGGCTCAAGAAAAATATGCTTATCCTACAAATAAGCACATCTACTGCAAGTCTCTACTTGATCAGTCGACTGCAGATGATTTATTTGTAATACTACTGAATCTTCAATATCGCTGCCTCCCTTCTGATGTATGTGGCTTTGTCTAGATAGCAAAGGGCAATAAAAATTACATGGACTTCTTTGATCGTATAGAAAAAAGTTCTGATAATAGCATTGGAGAAGCCCAATAGAAGCTTTTGCTGGACATTTTCCATGAAATATCTAAGATAAACCTTGCTATACCTAAATTATTATCAGGTTGGTCGGATTTTTGAGGCCTGATGAGGAGCAGCTTCCGTTGTTAGCAATGCCACAATAATTTCTTGTTTGGATTCTGCACAATCAGCGTTATAAACAAACAACTTTGCAGCTACCAGAAAGAAGAGAAAGTTGATGAAGCCCAAGATGGCCAATAATGCGTAATAATGGTCTAGATGAGAGACGTTTAGATTGTCCAAAATCCAATTGCTGTGGTTTTTTTTGGTTATATCTGCTACGGTCTTCAGTAAAAAACTACTCAGAAAATGTCCAATTCCCAAGCTGGTGGTGAAGTAGGAGGTGCCAAGGCTTTTCATGCCTTCTGGTGCTTGGTCATAGAAAAACTCAAGCTTTGCAACTTCTGCGAAGGCATCTGCTATTCCTGTCAGGGCAAATTGAGGAAGAAGAATGAAAATGGAGAGTGGAACCTGGTCTTCTTTGCGAAAAATCTTGTTTTCTCTAACGGTTTTCAGTCTCATCCTTTCAGTAATACATGCTGCGACCATGATGGTAATTTGCAACACTAGTCCAACACCCATCCTTTGGAGCAATGTGATCCCTCTAGGGTTTTTGGTGAATCGACGAGCAAATGGAACAAAGAAACGGTCGTAGATGACAATGGTGATCAGCATAAAAATTGTTACAAAAACTGCAAGGCTTGCTGCAGGAATTTCAAAATGGGGACCCATGCTTCTGTCAAGGGTGGCGCCTTGTTTCACAAATAGTGTACCCACTTGTGAAACTAGTGCACTTGGAATGAATGTCGCTGCCAGAATGGGTATCATTTTAATCATTTGCTTTGTTTCTTCAACTTGAGTAACAGTGCATGGTGTCCTTGCTGAGCTCGTCTCACCCTGAACGGCTGCTTTGTCTAGGAATCTGCAGGTAATGGAGTTCTTCTAATCAAGAAATGAAAGGTTGACCATAATCAGCTTGGAAACTTGTATTTACATTTAGTTCGATAGAATTACCTTAATGAATGAGTATGATCAATCCTATATTTTTTTGAATTAGTGTAATCTTCCACATTAAGCTCATGAAGCTCCTTTGTATCATCAGGAATTGGCAGTTTCCGGTTCTCCACAGCAGCCACAATCACCTTAGCTATCCTGCTGAAAGGGCTCCCTGAAGGCAATTTGTGCCTATAAAATGGAGTGCCAATCAGAAATACAAGCACAGAAATTGAAAACCCGATAGTTGGAATCCCATATCCAAGGCCCCAACCTACGGTGTCTTGGATGTAAACCAAGAAAGTGTTTGAGAACAGAGTGCCAAAGAAAATGCTGAACATCCACCAATTGAAAAAGGAAAGCTTTTGTGTTCTTTCCTTGGGTTCAAAATCATCAAATTGGTCAGCTCCCATTGTCGAAATGTTGGGTTTGGTTCCACCAGTTCCAATTGCGACTATGTACAATGCACAGAAGAAAATGCCTACTTGGAGAGGCGAGGCTTGTTTGTCACAATGACCTTCTTTGGCCTCATCGCCGCATGATGGTGGTCTCAGGGCTGGCAATGAAACTGACAAGGTTAGCAGGACCATTCCCTGTATGACACAAGTTGGATGAGTCTAACATGGAAGTACAGACTCAAATTCCCTCCTCCATACGTTTATTTCTCTCTTTGAACTTATTCTACTGCTTCTAATGTTTCATCATCGAAACCAAAAGACAACTCAATGGAGATGAGTTTAGATACCGTTAAAATATAGCTCATTCATAGAAAGTTTGAATCTTACAATGAGGTAAATTGCGGAAGATGTGACAAAGGTCCAGTATCGACCGAGATAAGCGTCAGCAATGTAGGCACCTATAATTGGTGTCATCCACACAGTTCCAATCCAGTTGGTGACATTATTGGCAGATGTCACAATGTCTTGATGAAGTTTGTCGGTCATATACACCACCAAGTTTGTTGCAATCCCATAGTATGCCATCCTCTCAAACACCTCGAACACTACATGAAACAAACATGTTGTGAATATTAACCACTTCTTTCTCAACCCAAGAACTCAAAGAACAAAACCTGATATGGGTTTCTGAATAAGGTAGTTTCTAAATGTTATTGCCTTTTGTGAAGTTATTTTCTTGATTCCCATGATATGGAACCAAGGACTTATTAATCTTAGTTCTTTAAGAAACCAACTCTTTCTTCTTTGATGCTCCTGTGAAGGATTTCTTCTTCATGCCAAATATTGAAGACTGAACTCATTACTTGTATTTTTGAAAGGAGAGCTTGCAGGTGTGCAGGCTACCAGTTACGCAAAGAAAAAAAAAGGAGGAAAGTTTGTTGAAGATTACCAACAATGAAGGAACAGGCTCTCCATCTCCCAGTCTTTGATCTTAAAATAGGATCACCTTTGAGACTCACGGTTCCATCTTGTGTATAATCATCTCTTCCGTCTGCGGAGCCTTTCTCTTCCACCTGTGCCATTATAGTAAACAGAGGAGAAAATGAACTTTCTACTGGCAAATCGTTGAAATTCATGTGAGTTCTATTAGCTTTTTATATAGATAAAATAAATACCCACAAACACGCAAAATAAAAATAAAAATAAATGATAGGAAGATCACCACCACAGACGTATTTATTGGGAAATTAAATAATATTACGGCAAAGTATGGAAAGTTAGCTAGGGATGCTGGGTTATGGTTCAGGAACTTTAGGTTGATGCCATTTAGGATTGAAAGTTTTAAGTTTTTGTAGTCTAAATTAGAAATTGGTTTGCAGATTTACAATTTTAGTCTAAAAGGTGGATTCAATAGGGTAAGCTTTTGTAGGTTAATAGGATTATGAATCCTAAAGTATTAGCAAGCAAGTCCATTAGATTAAACGAAACCATGGCTTAGCCGACCAAGTCATATTTGTTTAAGAATTGTTTTCATTGTTTTGTACAATTTGATATGCCTGTAGCTCCTCATTGGGTGCTTATTATGTTGGTTTGTTTCTCTCCAATGTGAAATTGCTGACATGATATCAACTTAACATTCTGTGTGCTTCTCTTTTTCAGTCACTTTCACAGATTGATTCAGTCATTATTTTTTAGATGTTTACGATTTGAAGGAAAATGTAATTAATATGAAAAAACCGTTCCAAGCAATGCATAGCACAAGCTTTTCCTGCTTGTTGGTATCTTGAAATCGGCAGAAGATGCTGATTTGAGGTTAGCATGTTGTCTTTCATGAACTCTCGCGAAATTTATTGTTTTTATTTTATTTTTTTTTTTTTTTTGGATTTTACTAACTTTTACCATCATATTATATTCCTTTTTTACTTTTCTTTTTATTAGTTTAATATGTATAATAGATATTCAAATCTCTAATTACTTTCTAGAATGATTAATGACAGTAGAAAATAAGGACTAAAGGACTTTCTACTCTTCCAAAAAAAATATATTAAAAGAGTATTTTTGTAAAATTTGTTCGTCACGAGAAGGAAGTGGCAAACTGCCAATTTGAAGCAAAGAAATGCTTTCTAATTGCAGTTTTACTCTTCAACCAATCCTTAATTGTTTCTTATCATGCTTGGGAGAGTTAGGTTCTTTTTGTTTGTCCACCTGCATCAACACACACAAGGATTGTACCAAGTTTAGTTAAACAACAAATTGCCTAAATTTAGGCAAAGAGATGAAAAGGGTATGCTCTGCGAGCTACAAGTCTCAGCTCTCGAGGTCCCATCTAATAGAAAAAGGAGTGATATGGACAGTGCTTACAGACAAAAACAAAAGTCATCAAGACAAGATTAACTTTGTGAATTTCACCCAATGGAATCAGAGAAGCATAGAAAGCACCAGTGGGCTTAACGGGTTATTTGCAGATGTGATTATCTCATAGATTTTTGGTTTTTATATACTCGGGAATGGGTTTTAGCCATTTAAATTCAAGAACCTAATGAAGGAAGGCCAGACAAAGTTTACTAATTGTGGTGTATATTGGCAGAAAAGTTGGCCTACGTCAGTATTATTATTATTATTATTATTATTTTTTATTTTTTTTTTCTGTAGCTAAAAAAGACAAATAAAATATTGAAACTTTTTTACTCCTAGTTATCAAAATTTTAATGGTAATCTAGGAAGTATTAAAGAAGAGATCTAAACTCCCATTTAGAATTTTTGCAGCTTGACAAACTTAAAAAATTTAATGTTATACCAACCAAGCATTATTGTATGTTTATGTACGTACTTTAGTTAAGCTATAACTATGAAATATAGTTGGACATAAATATGTACGGTAAAAAGTTCGTCCACATTATTCACCTGGGCAGGTTTTATGGATAAATTGCTTTGGGATGTAACTTTCAATGGTCAAGGTAAATTTAATGAAGTTTAAATTAGAAATATCAAGCAACAAAAACGAAGAAAAACAAAATCAAATCTATAAATTTCCTATACAAAATAAAGGGTTGCTCGCAATCCAATCATAACATTAATTGCCCATCAGATATAAGCCAAAGACTTCGTGAAATTCAGAACAGAAGCCTCTGAGCTCACATCAGATGCACATGAAGTTAATATATAACCAACAAAGTTTCTTAGGGGGTCTATGGGAATCCATCCAAAGGCCAAAAGTCAGACTCAGCATGAGAATAAACTCCTATTCAAAAACATTGGCCAGTGTTAAACAATATGGAAGGATATCTACTAAACAAAGGTAATTTTTAAACAACGATTGCAACACTGAGAAGCAGTTAAATCATATAAACAAAACTAAAAGAATTATCCAGTGGAGAAGTAAATCGCACACTAACGAACCTTCTATGTTATATTATTGTGATTTGTTATTGATCCTATGTGTAGGGCAGAGAAGAAGTTGGTTATCTTGATCAAGAGATATCAAAGTTACCACATTAGGTTCTATAAAGCCAAATAGAACTAACTACCTAATTAATCTATGCAGTAATACCAAAAATTGAAGAAAAAAAGGCATGAAAGATAAATTAGAGAACCCAAGTATCAAAGAAAAATACCTAATTATGACTACAAGAATATCAAGGTGACATACCACAACAGAGATGGGCTGTGGAAGGATAGCAAACCTTGGTCCTTCGCTGCTGTCAGCAGCTCCAAAACTCCACCTGAAATTCCTGTGGATGCCAAAATCCCATTTAATATTGTGCTAACCTCAGTATGAAACTCAAAACTTATCCTTTTCCTCATGCAAAAACACTACATTGAAATAGTTCTCCCCCTCTAGAAGATCAGCAAATATGATGTTTACGTGGTTTTCAAAATGTAGAAATAAACCAAGTTGTAAAGTTCCTCCATAACAGGAAGAACCTGATAGCACCTCCTATCTCTGTCTTGAATGCCATATGAAAGCCACATCTAGCAAGGCCGTCTGCAGAAGCCTAGTATTTAGCAAACACTCAATGCATAAAAGAGAGAGAAACAAATACCAAAATTACCATGAAAAACAATAAACTTGGCATACAATAACAATATATAGAATATCCTCATAACCACCCACCGTCAACATAAAGAAAAGTAAATAGATAATATTCTAGCTTCTACACTAGATTAAGAAAAAAAAAACATAAAAGTGTATAATGCTCACAACAACAAGCAGCCTCAAGATAACAAGCCTAATAAATATTAGTACTGCTAAAAGCAATGGACATATTCAACTACAGAATTACTACTGCCTGATAGCAATGAGAATGAAGAGATTCAATCATTCTCAGGATCTGTTACTATCCAGCATTATGTCTTGCACGTGGAAAAGGATGGCATGTGCAAATATTTAGCAACTAGGCTTAACCATGCCTAGACTGAGTGCCACCATAACCACCACCATAACCACCAGGAGTCTGTGAAGCATCGGATCTCCAGCCACCACTAGAGTAACCTGAATTTCCATTAGTGTCATCATATCCACTCCCCATGTACCCACCACTCGTGCCATGTGGCTCTCCACTTTGACCGCTACCAACATTGCTATTTGGAGCACTTGTAGCTCGTCCTCCAGAGGTTCCATAGCCACCATAAGGACCATCGTTTCCACCATAATAACCTTGATTCCCATATCCAGAAGCCCCACTAGGAGATTGGCCCCTTGGGGCAGAAGGAGGTACACCAGTACCTGAGGCACTCCAAGGAGCTGCAGCCCCAAAGCCTGGACTAGCACCATAGCCAGGACCACCATATCCTGGAGCTTGGTTGGTCCAAGAACTTTTCATCGCGCCATGTGCTCCACTTAGATAACCAGCATTGACTGCAGTTGGATTTCCAAATGGTACAGCTGGACCACCAAATCCAGCACTAGCGCCACCATACATACCAACACCATAACTACCATAACTTCCATAAGGAACACCACTGTTTGGTCCTCCATAACCATAACTTGAAACACCATATCCAGAATATGGTGGGAAACCACCAGCAGTAGACTGAGCTTGCATATATCTATTGCCATCTGATCTACCATCAAAGTTATTAGCGTTAGTGCCAGAACCATAATTTTGATAGCCTCCACGGCAACCACTTCCTGGATTTGCATCCTTAGGAAGTGCCCGTTTCACCTCTACAAGTTTACCATTCAGTTCATGAAAGCTCTTACAAAGTACTCTATCAACTGCATCTTCATTGTCAAATGTTATGAAACCAAATCCACGAGGTCTCTGAGTATTTTGGTCATACATAATCACTACATCAGTTACTTGGCCATAATTTTCAAAATACTGCCGGAACCCATCTTCTGTTAGTGCCGAAGGTAGACCGCCAACAAATATTTTTTTGGTCTTAAAATATCCACTACCTCCAGAGCTTCTGCCGGAGTTATAGCTCCCACTTCTTGAGGAAGTTTGCTGTTCCTCTCTTGATAAAGCCCTTTTTGCCTCCACCTGTGTCAACAAAGCACAACTAGAAATTGCTGAAAACACTCACGGGAAAGCAAATAAAATACATATTTATCAGTTATCATAATGAGCATATGATATGTTGCAAGATTTTCAAAAGCATTTTAAAATAATCAATGGGTCAAGTTGATATATTTTGATTCCCTCACTGTCCTTGTATCCCAGACATATGCAAACAGACTAACAGAACTTTTGTTAATTTAAACCTGCCAACACAATCATAATGGTATGCCACAATATATTACTTACCAGGAAGGCATGTGCTAATCAACTTCTCAAGCATATAGGTTCCCTTACAAAGTAGTGGTACACTCTCTTTTGGTCTAAAAAACAAGGCGATGTCTAGTACAGGGTGAGGTATTACCACATGAGAGTTCAATATCAGCCGGACAGGATGCTGTTTATGTGTTCCGGTATCAAACGAATGATAACGATAGAATAAACCTTTCAATCCGCTACTAAAAGTACTCATGAAACTGCCCGTCTAGAACCCTTAGAACACGTAAACAAATGGACGGAGATAACTACAAAGTTGAGAAGGTTACCCATAAAAAAAAAATGATCCACATTACACAATCCCAACTTCCCTTGCAGTTGAGAGAGGAAGAGGGGATAGAGACGAAATAACCCAAACAATAACTATTCTGACCGTTTCTTACTGTTTAGGACCACTTTGATGCCAGGATCAATAACAGTAAACCAATTATGAGCTGATGAAATACAAGTGAGAGACTGAGAGTGAGTCTTACTACAGCGCCACTGTAAATAATGAGCTCCTAAATTAAAGCAATTTGACGGTCTAGTCCCACAAGAATATGTTCCTCGAAACCCCCATTATGAGAACAACAAAAAGAAAAACCGTCGAGAAAAAACATAACCTAATAAAGCAACGAAGTAATGCAGATATAAATTACAGAAGAAGAAGGCAAAACCTGGCGGCCATCGATTGTGTGCTTATCCTGAAGCACCTGATCAAGAACTGAAGAATCAGAGAAAACGACAAACCCAAAGCCTCGAGGACGGCCAGTGGTCTTGTCGCGCATAATAACGGCTTGGATAACTTCGCCAAATTGGGCGAAATAGCCTCTGAGCGTCTCCTCGGAAGTGTCCCAAGCTATTCCTCCGATGAAAAGCTTCCCCTCGTCGGAGTCCATGTCTCTGATTACTGAAAAGGTACCGGAATTTGGGGCTGCTTCGTGTTTGCCAATGAGTTGGAGTTACACTCAGCTCCTAGAGATCGAAAAAAGGGAGAGAGAAAAAATAAAGAGAGAGAGAAATGGAGGGAAGAGAATGAGCGCGCGAGTACGAGGAGGGAAATTGGGGTTAGGGTTCCGCGAATACGATTTTGATTCATTAATTTTATATATATTTTTTATAAATGTTTGAATTCATTATAGGTCTCATGACTCCCTCAGGTCGAGAGTTCGAATCTTATTCCATTTTTAGCCTATTATTATTATTTTTATTAAAATACCATCGTTTCCATGGTTATAGTTTCAATAATTTTTAAAACCAATTTCTGTTGGTACGATGCTTATTTTTATCAAGCTTGAATGTACCATAATTAAAATAGTATTTAAATATCGTTTTCTCTTTTGTTATCAAAATATCGATTATTTTCATATTTAAACATTGTTTTCCCCATGTGACAAAAAAAAAAATAAATACAAATATAATATCTCGATTGATTTAAGTTACAGAGGTTAGACATTCAAATGACAATTTTTTTTAATTGTTCTATATGGTAAAAAAAAAAAAAAAAAAAATGAAATTCAGTAATCGAATTATCCATCTAAAGTCCTTCAAAATTTGAATTATTATTATTATATTAACTTTGTTTTTAAAAAAAATATTACTATATTAACTTTAACGACATCAAGGGGAAGGGACCCACATCACAAAATATTATTTTATTTTCCACTTTCTTTTCGATCACCATTTACAGGTTGTGATCATGATGGGTTCCGAGTCCTGACAGTCACTTGATTCGTTTGCTCGTTTCCCCCATAAGTTGAATTTAAAAAAAGAAGAAATTTTCTCGACCGTTTCACCCTGCCCCACTTGCCCTCCTTTCCTTTACTACCAATTCGAAGCATTCACTCTGTCTCTTTCTCTCATCTTCATCGGATTCTCTAATCTTCGTCGGATTCTCTCTCTACCTTACTCTGTATATCCAACCATGAAAACCCATTAGAGGGATCGGCCTTTCAGAGTCATCGGAGCATTTATCTCAGTCGGAGAGTCTTCCATTTTTGTTTTATCAACAATGGGGTGCTTCACTGCTTGTTTTCGCTCTTCAGATGACGTGAAGCGCAGGGAACAAAGGCGACGCAAGGTTTTGCCACGAATCAAAGTAAGCCATCTTCTATTTTTCTCGAGCTCATGAGGGTTTTTGTAACTTTTGTTTGATTTAATTGAATGTTTTAGATTTCTACATGTACAATGAATCTGTATTGATCTCGATTTCTAGGAGTTTTCTTTGACGTACTAAACAGAGCTATAAGAACTGAGATCCCATTTTAAATTTTACTGTAGGCTAATGCTATCTCCAAGCCCGTTCAGACCTCACCATCCGCCGTAGACAATGCTTCTGATAGATCTACTAGTCCAATTCTGAAAGCTCGGTGAGCAACGAACAAGAAATTACCCCCTCCCTGTTTTTCTTTGAACACATGCCGTTTCTTGTAGTGTTTTTTAGCTTCTGATTCCAAGTTTATGGGTTCCGAGTGTAGGGACAGGCCCGAGGAGCTGCAACTAAGCCCGACTACTAGGAAAAGAGTAACGTTTGATTCTAATGTAAAGACATATGAGCTTGATCAGGTTGAAACTGATGTCTTACTTGAAAAGGAAGGGTACAAGGAGGAGAAGGAACTAGCTGGAATATCCCAATGCAAATCTCGCTCCGAGGATGGCTCCACTGTTTCGTGCATTTCGTCGTACCCTCCCAATCATAGGTACCAGAATTATAGGGAGAGTGATGATGATGATGAAGAAGAATTGGATTATGCTGATAGTGATCTTGATCATGATCATGTTGACGATGATGATGGTGACGAGAACGATGATATTGAGGATGAAGAGTATGATCATTTCTCTGAGGATGAAAGTGGGAGCAGTTCTGCTCAAGTGTTTGCTGATGAGGCCGATAGCTGTTTGTCTGTATGTGGGTGTCCTGGAAAGGCTGAGCCTCAAATAGGGGCGAGACGAACTGCTCGAGATAGGAATGCCTGTGTTCATTCTGTGTTGAAGCCTGTGGAAAATATCTCACAGTGGAAGGCAGTTAAAGTTAAGGATAAACATCGGTCGAATTCTCCTCACAAAGAGAATTTGGCACTAAATGGAGCTCCTGGATGTTCTTTTGGGATAGAGCCAAGTTTCAAAGAATCATCATTTGGTTGCAAATCAAAAACTTGCCAACCTAAGAAATCAGATCAAGGCATAGCCGTTGATGCCAGCCTTTCAAACTGGTTGAGTTCTTCAGTTACAACACCCCCAAGCAAGACTAGCACAGGCATTTTAGGTCTTACAACACCAGAGTCACAAGGGTCAAACTCACCTAAAAACCAGGAAGATAGACCAATTTTGGGAGCCTTAACTATGGAGGAGCTCCGACAGTTCTCACCTCCTCCAAGGAGATCACCAAATAGAAGTCCCAATGAGATGCCAATCATCGGGACGGTCGGCACATACTGGAGTCACTCCAGCTCTGTTGAGGATTCTGGACCATCCTCCTCTTTCAAAAGAGAGTCAAATATCAGCGGTAACTACAGAGAAATGCGTGTGAAGTAAGACTGCACTGAATTCTGATTGATGTTGTGGAAGGAAGAAACCAGTTTGTTTGGAGTGAGTGTGTCATAGATGTTGATAAATGAGGTATGAGTTTGAATAAACGAGTGCAAGCTTACCAACTTGATCAACACCATTGTATGATAGACATGTTTGGGAGAGTTGTATTGGTGTGTTTGGATTGATTTATTTGTTGTAATACTCTTTTGTTCCATAGAGGTAATTCATTCGTTTGCTTATTGTTTTTCTTCATCTACATTCCTTTCCAATTGTCTTTTCTATATGAGATCCATTGATTAAAATTTCTAACTCTAATAAGGTAATGGGTAATCTGCATCAGTACTTTCTGTAGTCGCATGTAAAGCAAAAAACTTAGATTATTAGAGATAAGAGTTTTTTTTTTTTTTTTTTTTTTTTTTTTTTTTTTTTTTTTTTTTTTTTTTTTTTTTTTTTTTTTTTTTTTT